CCCCCCCTGGTCGCCTTTCATCACCCCTTTCCCCCTGCCCCCCCGCGGGGCCCTGCACTCCCGAGTCCTCCTCCTGTATAGGCCGCGACCAACGCTCACTTCCGGTGGCCGCGGGCGAAGCGCAGAGCGCGCGGGCTCCAGGGCAGACGACACTACACACGCGCAGCGCGCAGCAGACGACGCGCCGAATGTAAACAACATCAGCCGGGCCGGGCCACGTGAGCCCCGTATAAATATAAACACGCGGCGCGCTCACCTTGTCGTCTGCTCGCCAAACGCAGAGCAGAGGCTAGGCGGCCGCGCGTGCGGATCATGAGTAGGATATATAGTACTGCCGCAGGACTCGTCTCGCAAATAAGAGTACGGACATTCAGTACGAACGACTAAAGTATGGTCAAAGCAGGACGATCACAGTTAAGGAATGATTTTTCCGGTCCGAATTTTCTGAAATATCGAAAGTCTCCATCTGTGCCTCATCGCCTTCTATGAGTTGGCATTCTCGGTATTTTAACAATCTCCCCTCCTCGCTTCGCTCGCGGCCGTTGGAGCTTTCGCGCCTTTTAGCCCGCGCGCCGCTCACCGAGCGCCTCGCTCGGTGCGTGTGCGGCAGAGCTGGCCCACGATATAGGCCCGCGAGCTGGGCACCCGTAGCCAAAGCGAGAACCTGTTCTATAAATCAGGTGACAACACACGGGGGAGATGGAGTGCGTCTCGGGGGCATAATGGGGGCCTTTTAGGTTCGGCCCCGCGCCGCCCCGCGCCGCCCTGCCCGGCCCCGGCCTATTGCGTCGGACACGGTGGTGTCGCGCTGCGCCGCTGCGCCTCGAGCAAAAGTCGGATCAGCCGCGGCCAAGGACGACTCCATTATATCAGCGCCATATGCCCCATCCGGTCATCTACTCGTCTATCCGTCCGACACGAGCTGGCGCGAACTAGAGTCCAGCTCCTCCAGCACAACACTGGGGTGGGGGTGGCCACTTCAGAGCGGGCCATACCAGGACAGTAAACAAGCACGGGTTGCGGCGATTCGCACAACACTGGATGGCATAGTAGTGGCGAAAATTCCGGTTTAGCGTGTGTTGGTTACGCTTTTTGCGCTGCTACTAGGGATAGAAGCACTGGAAAATTTCCGGAAAAATTCAGGAAAAAAAGGAAAATTTTCCAGACCTTGGGAATTTTCGTTTTGTTTTTTTAATTTTCGTGAAAATTTTGTAAATTTCCAACCTTGTACGCTACGCTCGCTACGCTATGGCCGGAAGGTCGAGGTCAGTCGCCGTTTTAAACGATATCCTTCCTGTGACCTTCCATCTTTTTACCCTTGCAAACAAAGTAATAGTAGTGTCTCTGCGGCGCCGCTGCTGGTCCGCTGCAAAATTTATTATTGTTGCCGACTGAAAATAAAAGAAAAGGGAGGGGAAGAAAAAGTACCGGCCGCGCCCTAGCACCACAGCACACCACGCAGTGCTGCTATAGGGCCGCTGCTGGGGCCGGCTGGGGCGCTCTGCCGATAGCGCTATCCTGTTTCCCCGCAGCCTTGCCTTGCCTTGCATACATACGGCCCCCGCCCGCCGAGGCCGCGAGGCAGCTCGCTCTCTCTCTCTCTCTCTCTCTCTCTCTCTCTCTCTCTCTCTCTCTCTCTCTTTCTCGTTCTCTCTCTCTTTCTCGTTCTCTCTCTCTTTCTCGTTCTCTCACTCTTTCCCTCTCTCTTTGCCATTTCCTCCCACAGGCAGTCCGCCACCACAAGGAGGACGTCGCCGGAAGGAAACAAACGCCTTCCCCGCGAAGGAGGGGGGTGAGGCGGGGAGGGGAGGGGGAAGCTCTGCAAATAACGCGAAAGCCGCCGCCGCTGCTGCCATTTCAGGCCAAGGGAGGAACGAGCGCGGCGAGCGCCTTACACTATTCTGCGGAATACAAAAATAAAATAAAAATA